TGCATATCAATCCAATATGTCCAGATAAATTTTCCGGGCGGTGGTAGAGTTGACCCAATTGTGGTTTTTGATTTCATTCCATCTAAGATTAAAGAGCCCATAACTGTTAGCAGTTTGAGCCGCTGAAGTCATACACTGAAGGTTTTATCTCAGACGTACAGCTAATAAGACATTTTGTACACGTCTACAGGCGGAAAATCATTCCATCCGTAGATGAATCTTTATTAGTATTTCGCAAATCAGTCATAGTTTCGTTATAGACCATATACTGACTCCTTGATTATGTATCAGTATTGCTGGATACATCAAACGGCCAAATGACGTTACGGTGTTTCAGTGCATCATGCCCTAGGAACTTACATACATACATACATACATACATACATACATACATACATACATACATACATACATACACATACATACATACATACATACATACATACATACATACATACATACATACATACATACACACATGCGTAGACACGAGCACACTTGCAAGCAAATAAAGACCACCGACTTCTGGAAGTTCAAACGCATCAAACAATATTTATGCTTTGTAAAAATGAGAACATTCGACAGTCAAAATGATTATACCGTATGTGTGAAGAGAATGGTAGTTTGCCAAAAACACTGAATTTGCTAACATAGCTGCCGATTCTCTTATTCCATTATCTCAAAAGCTGTCTATTCATTAGGGTAAAAAGACCCTTTGTTTACTATCTCAGAGCGGTATTTTCCACGAGCTTCTATGATCCTACCCGAAATGACGCCTCCAAAGTGTAGCTCAAGTTATTGATTGGTGATAAACCAACGAAAACCGAGTGAAGTTTTAAATGGTTTACAGGAATAGTTTACCCCCTCCCCGCAAGAAGTACTATGAAATGGATTCGAAAAACAAAGGTGTCAAAATATTGTACTGTCCTTAAAGAAAAGGCTGTACGGTATTAGAGGGAATGCAATGGAGTGAAGAAGTAAATCTGAAGAAAAAGAAACACTATTCTCGTAGTGCATTTTATGACGAGGTGTCTTCAAGCTCTGACCAGTTACCGAAATTAAAAAAGGCTCGAGTTTTTGTATGCGGTTTGGTTTCGCAGGGGTTCCGAGGAAAGGGAAAAGAGAAACAGTGATCGGTTTTGGGCACAATCACCGTGTGTGTGTGTGTGCGTGCGTGCGTGCGTGCGTGGCTGCATCGGGGTCGGTATAAGTTGCATAATTTTCTCAATAGGCACACAAATAGATCATGTTGACAAGCAATCCCAAATTTCCAATACAATAACGGTGTTGTTAGTTGTAATTGGTAACTGGTAGATTTATCAATTAAAAATGGGTAAGCATATTCATGCATTCTTGAGAGCGGAAATTGACTCACGCAGTAATGGGTAAGTATGAACGGTGTGGAATTCAGTATAATTTTTGAAAGTGGATAATGTCTTTTGCCCTCGAATGTCAGATATCCACCACTCTAGTTTTATGCATTACTGATTTAAGTAACACAGCATGTGTTGAAAACCGTACAATTGAAGAGGACTGAACTTGATTAAGGGCAGCACGGTTCAGTTGATTTGAGTTGGATAGACGAACTGAGTATTTATGTTCGTATTTTGTGTTTCAGGGGTTTTCCTCTATGGATAAGGGCATAAATTAGAAACGGATCAGTGAAATGCTGTCTTGGACAGCATTTATTCCAAAATCGAATTGAATGTCACTTGCTTATTTTTGGTGCTATATTGCGTATGAGGAATAACTGCACGATTGAACTCAAATTAAAAACAAATTTGCGGGTTCGGTGGCAACAATATTTACACTTTTCCCACCAGCAGTGGGTCTTGTAAATGCACTGATAGATGGGAGAGCCACAGTCTACTCACAGAGGCTGAAAGTGCACCTGATTGCTAACTTCCGTAAGATATTTCCATAACGAATACCTCTTTTTCACTCGCGAACAAATCCCCTCGAAGCGAAGTGACAGAGGAGTTTATGAAATGGAATAGGCAACAAATGTCTCGCTTGCAATCCTGGAGGAGAAAACACCTTTAAATTTTTGTTCTTATCAAGTCCCATTGCGAACAAGCAAACAGGATCCGTATTAGGTTAATGAATTGGTTAATATCAACCTTGAATTTTTCGACATAATGTCTCATTTTAGTGCATCCAGCAGAGAATGAGTGGTAAACCGGTATCGATCACCAGTTAAATGCAACTTGAGTAAATTCCAGACCTTACAGTAGTTGTGCTTTTTTCCCTTTCCTCGGAATCGAATTGTTGAATAAACCACTGATTCGCCCGGAGAATTTCACAACTCACTCCGTCCTTCGCTTTAGCTGAATGTTTCAATTCATTGGAGGCGACTTGGTACATCTTGGTTCGCGTTGGATTACCAATCTTTGTGGTCAAGTGTGAAATCAAATATTTGATAGGTCTCCTGAATTCCCAGATACTTGTCGGTGGGCAGTGACTGCTGAAGAAATGAAATAAATTCATAATATTGAATCCTTTTGGGAAAAAGGCACAGAAAGAATCTTCCGGCAGATAACATGCGATACCTCATGCACAGGATTTCATTTCATATTTGGTTGAAACGAAACGTGGGGTAACACACTTTCAGAGCAGGTTATATAATATATTTCACGGTGATCTATATGTCCATTCATCTTGATCATCTTCACACATCACTAATCAACCAGAATAACATCTCAAAACTGTTCATCATTCTCTGTAGAATGAATAAAGATTGTTCCATCACGACTGGACTCATGATCGAAAGAAACCGGGAAATAGGCAAGATTCACTGAGTAGTGACGGTCCGTGAATGGAGAACAATATACATGAAATAACTTGGCAGAACGCGTGAATAATGTTAGCAATATTTTCTCTTTCTCCAATGAAAGGAATAACTAAAAATTGTCTTAGTATTTCATGTCACTCATTCAGTTATCTGAATTCTTTATAAATTCTTTATAANGTCTTCAGGTCCCAATCTCGGCAACAGTCCTGAACATACCATGTGAGTGGTGACAAATATGTGAAAATTCAATCGGAATAGATGTCGCACAAGTGGATGAATATCTCACCTATACCGATTTTATTCTTAGCAGCCTATTGCCAACTGCTGACACATGTCATAGCTCAGTTTTGCGCCCCCATCGAGAAACCGTAATTTACCGTAAATATATACACACTGGAAAAAGAAGAACCTATCGGTAATCATAGGGCTGACTCCTTCAAGAACTCGGTACTCAGGTTGTGCTGCCTTCGTCAACATATAGTCTGCATGATAAGTGTATATGCTTTACTGCCAACCACAACGTTTGGCACCATTTGAAATATCTGTATATATCTTCATTACACAAAACAATTGGACATGAGAGGCGTCTGATATAACCAGAATATCTGAGCTGATAGATTATTCCTTGAGGCACGTATCACCCCTTTGATGTCATTCATTTACCAAACTCTAACCTGAGGGCTCCCCGAAGATGAGGCATGCATTAGAGACCACACGAGAGTAAACCGCGCAACCGGCGAGCGAAAGCAGATGGAAAGAAACCGATATCCGAAGAACTCGGTGAGCAGACGTTATGTCTGGGAAGACAGCCACTTCTTAGTGGGCGAATGAGGTCCATTGCATGGTCCAAAAGGTATAAAGGAACTTTGTCCAAATATCAGAGGTACACGGATAACCGAGGTTGAGTCCACATCTGCTCAATGGCAATTGAGCTCTAAGGGAGCCATCTACAAAACTGAAAACAACACACTCATACCCACAGTTCCCTTGCGGTTCTGCAGAAACTAGATGTTTGTCTTCGAAAAAGCGGCCGAATGACATTGTATGTTCGTTGTATGACAATTTACTTAAGTAACCGTATCCTCCCGAAACATACATCATGTATAGTAAAGTTAGGCTATTTGCGGACCTCGACTTCAGATCATATATGCTGTTCACAAAACAATCATCTTTATTCCTCTGTTTTATCAGGAACAAACCGACTTAATGCTTATACTGCGAGATATTTTTGTGGTATTTGAACGATTTAGGAGGGCTTACTTTTTGTTAATATATGGTATTCTAAATGAAACAAGAAATAGGGAGATATTTAATAAACGTTTACCTCTCTGGAGTTAAATCTTCTTCTCCTGAATCGTACAGGCAAAATTATTTATGCATGAAACCAAAAAAAGCTGCAAACCAGAAGAGCAGGGGTTTTCTCAATTTTTTATAGGTCTCAGTTTTTTGAAATCCAATTTGATCACAGTTTGACATATTCAATAGAAAAACTTAGGATTTTAATTTCATAATTTGTTTGCGAATTGCGGATGCTCGAGAACAATCGGATTTAAAAACATCCGGAATTTCTCGTTTCCATACGATGCGTGTACACACACAGACTCGAATACGTGTAGATCATTTGCGAGAACTTTAGGTCTGCGGCTCTTTCGTTAATTAGTGTGTGAAACATAGACTTTATTTAAGAACTGTCATTTTATCCTTTTGTATGTTCTCGGTCCATGAGTTGTGTGACATTTTCCGTGTTTTTTCCTCCCACACCGTTCCCCATTCACTCGTAAATCTTTAGGGGTTGAATTCTGCCCATTTAAACACTCATTTTACGGTTTGTTTTTCAAATTTCACTCAATATAAGGTAAATTTAGCAAACATTTGCGTGCATCTGTGGTTGGGAAACTTCACAAACAAAAAAAAGAAGCATAATATCAGTGCTAAACTGTGACTGGATGAGTTGTGGCAAAATCAGAGTGTGACAACATTGCGGAGGATGTCACATGTTTTTGCGATTTTCCTTGTTCTCGTTCACAAATCCAACGGTTTTGACATATCCAGGATGCCGATCCGTCATGACGTACGCACACAAATCTAGGTCCCACTGAGGTCTTTTAAAAGTGAATTATTTTTTGAAACTGCGTTGTGCATATACTATAGAATGAATGACAGGATTTGACAGAGGAAATCAGTTTAAACCTGAACGAATTCGTTCGAGATGCAGAAGGAAGAGAGCGTGAGTGATTCGGGGTCAAACATACGTAAAAATCGAAATGCATCTTCAGCGGCCTTCTTTTGACGCGTACAACAATCGTAAATGTTAAGCGTTCGTTTGGAAGTGGAGCCCTGAACTCATCCATGTATCTTTAACAACATATTTAGTCACAAGTTTGATCTAGTAGTGTCTCAAAGCAAAGAATTGAAATTTGTGGATGCGTTTCAATTTCCCCAGAATCTTTCTGAATCCTATCATGTTGTAAAATGTGCACTTTAATTCAAAATGAATCCAAATGGATATCAATATCGGTATCCCGACAGAGGACATAAAGCATTTACTTTATTTTTGCGCATATAACCTGCAAATGAAATTCAGCGATGCTAGTTGTTGTCAGAAGGACGGCGTTGTAATGGGCTCCCCTTTAGGCCCGTTGTTTGCGGACGTCTTCATGGCAATGCTAAAGAACAACGCCCTGAAAGCTTCCATCGAAAAATGCAACGTATACAAAAGAAATGTCGACGAAATTTTGTGTTTCATGGACAAGGATAGTAATCCCAATGAGCTACTGGAAACATTCGTTTCAAACTACTGATTCCAAAGTGTCGACTGGATTGCCGGCGCCAGTCTTTTGCTGTTAGAGTATGCAGATCTTGAAACGCCCTTCCATCTCAAGTCGTTTGTGCACCCACTATTGAATCTTTCAAGCAGAGACTCAACGAAACCTTGGCATACCTCACATTTGTACACTAAAGGCAAACGGAAATTCACTGTAAGCTACATTGTCTATCTCCTATCCGGATCTCTATGCGACTTCTTTTTCGATGTTTAACGATCCATCTGTGTAAATATCCTATGGAACAAGAGAAACACCAGCTTGTAAGCTATTGCCATAATAAAACTTTGACTTTGAGTTTGAGCTGCACGCATCCAAACATTAAGTTTACTCTGGAGGAGGAAACTGATAACCAGATGGTATTTACTGATGTGAAGAGGGGTCTATCCAACGCTCGGTGTATAGAAAAATCACGTGGTCTGGTCAGTACGTTCACTTTCCAACTTTTGTATATCTCAAAAGAAAGTGAAACATAATTCAATGTCTCGCTAACAAAGCGCATAAAACCTGCGCGGCTGAAACAGTTCAGAACGAATTATACTTCCTGCGCCATATCTTCCAACAAAATGGATACCCAGATGGATTTGTGGTCAGCATATTAAAGCGCCAGACAAACAAGGGGAAAATTGTTGGAGTGTACATAAAACTACCATTTACAGGTGACACTATGACGGAAGTGGTTTTTCGAACGTTGACAACAGGGATTAGTCAAACTTTCCATGCATCGAAATTGCATGTCACATTTGCATCCAGACCGGCCCTCACGCGGCAGCCCAAAGATAAAGTTCCTGTTTCTGCTAGCCTATTTTGCATTTACTCTGTCACTTGTTCCCGTGGAACAACGTACATCGGTCGCACGAGCAGATGCTTGACTCAGAGAGTTTGTGAGAATCATCCGGGCTGGGTTGCAAACTGGGGTGACAAAGTCAATTACGAGTGCAATCTGTTCACACTATGTCGAGTCAGGTCATTTAGTTGACTAGACCGGGACGTCTCGTCCCCTATACCAGGTTTGTGAACAGCAACCTAAGCCGATTAAACAAGGCAATCCTGGCCACAGCGGAAGCAGTGGGAATTCCCATTCACAATCCACCCTTGTGTGCATAAAAAATAATTTATTAAGACATTATGTTTCCCATGGCCCTCCGCTCATCCCATTTTCACCCGCTCTCCTCCCCCAATCTTCCGTAAATCCGGATTAAACATCACCGAAAACGTTAGCCAATATCTATATTCCTTCAACTTTATTTATGTACCATTGTCGTTTTTTGTAACTGTTTTTTTAACTGTTATATATATGTATATATATAATTCTGTCCAGTCGTTCACATACTACTTACTATGATATGTATATATATATACATATACATATAATGATGCATTATCCAAAAAAGACGAATCACTGAAAACAAGCCTCGTTCGCTACATTGTGTTCTGAGGGTTAAGTGCGGAAAACACTTCTCACTTATTCAAACTCAGATTTTCTTGAAATATAACCAACCTTTTAACACTGAGTTGAGTGACCTAAAAGAGTATCTTCTCAATAGTTCCATTATAATTATTATTTCTTGCTAAATGATACATGAACTTCTGCTATTATCAGATTTTTAAATACTTAGCAAAATTATTGCCCGCTAGGACGTGATTCGCTTTCTCTCGACAGTTCTATGAAGATGTTTAAGTATCAGGATCATAGTAGATTGATTTGTTTTCTAAAATAAGCTATCTTTTTCAGTACAGTCACGATGCTTTCGTTGATTGCAAGCTTTCGAATCCCCATCGACTTGACTCATTCTCAACACAAACCAAGACACACAATAATAGTGTGTGTGAACCTGGCGAAGTTATTCACCATTATACCTAAGTCACTCATACACTCTTCCTAGTCAACCGATCGGAGATAGCTCGACTGCTCATATGAATCCTGTGGAAGTAAATTTTAAATTGCCTACTCCAATAACCATTCGCCATTGCGTAGTTAAAAGACGTATTTGGCTCGTTATTTGGTCCCATTGAGGTTGGGTATGCGATGATCAAGCATTAAACGTGTTCATTACTGCTAGCCTCTGCGAGTGACCAAAACTGGTATTTCCTATTCTCATGCATCTTTGATCTGTTTTTGATGTGTAAGAAAAATCGTGTGACAACAGTGTGTTCACTAAATCACATCAAAGACTGCATGCATGCATGCATTGAGCGAGTACGAGGAAAGACATGTTTTGATTGGGGGTAATACCTTCAGTGGTCGGTATATTCAATCAGTGAGTGAGGGTTCAACAAATCGGATGCAACTGTGACTGTGCTTGGCGCTTGTGTTTTCTCAGCACAAATCAACATGCACACACACGCTGGCTCTTGATAGTTTCTTTCACTTCAGTTCGAAAGTCACTTCAACCGGAAAGCTGACCCCACGATTTCATTGTCCAACAATAAATGTATCCTGGAACTGGAAAGTACCAAATACATAAAACTACAATCCTGTGGTCGTTCGTGTTAATACACAATCACACACATAACTGCCCTTGTGTACGTGTTGAGCTTGTTGCGTAAAATAACCCGGTAAAAGTAACTCCAAGGCAATTAACAGAGGGAGAAAGAGAGAGGGAAAAAACAGCTCACTAAGCAGCCCACCCCGGGTTTGAGGAGACTATTTGTTCCTGCCCGAGTCATAAAATACCGGCCCCTCAACAGGCACCACTCCTGTTCTGGTTTGCTGTTCGAAATTTCTCTTCTTTTGTCGCGCTCTCCTAGACTTATCTCTGCTAGGCCCGGATGGG